TTAGAAACTGGGACCGACCATAGACATAACAAAATATTTTATAGTACATATCATTAATATAGTTTATATTATAGTAGTTTTAAATTGAACTTTTTGTAAATTTAAAAATTTTAATACTATCTATGTAATATCACGTTTTTTAAATTTTTATTAATTTACAATGTGGTAATTATTAAAATCAATCAATCAATCAATCAAAGTTTAGATTTACATGTATGCATTATCATAGCATGAATATTCTTCTCAGACTTATTCTGTATCGTATAAAAAAGCAACGCAATTTTGAGAATGCGGAAATGTTGTCTCATAAAAATTAGAATGATTTAAATGCAACATTTCTGATCAAAATCACATTGGGATTTTCTTCCCCCAGCATCCCAGAGGGGAAATAAGGTGACGCTGACCGGCTCCTCCTGTTTTTCAAAGTGACTTTTCCAATTTATTTAATTCCGAGTAGAAAATTAGAAATGTCTGGGAAAATTTATGTCTTCGATGTACTTTATAATCTTCGGAGTTTTGCAAGATTTCACCCCCCAAAATGCTTGAAATCGCATTTCAGGGACTCTAGATTTCAAAATTTTCCCGGGGGTGCATGCTCCCGGACCCCCCTCGATGTTCTCGCGCCTTCGGCGTTCGCTTCGCCCCCCCCCAAAAAAAAATGAAGGTCTGGCTACGCCACTGAGAACAGAGACTCAATACAGGACCTCTAGCAACAAATATTTTTTTAAATACATTCAGGCAGACTGAACTTCTGTACTTTTAACAAAATGCTGCAATAACACAGTATGGGAAAAGTATAACAGTCCAAGACCATATTGTCATATACTTCAAAACAACATCCCTATAGTATATTATATGCCCAATGGGCGCGGTTGAATAAAGTTCTGAACAGATTTTGATTTTTTAGTTAGTGAAAAATCGGATTGGTTTTATACAATCTACCCATGGCTATAGTATCATTGAATACATATAGTCGTATAATTTTATATATAAATCGGTGTGTAACTCTGGACGCCGGCGACGATGTTCAAAAAGCCGGTGCCGGTTAATTAATCCCATAGATTCACGAAAAACGTCAAAGCAATCTCTCTTGTACTAGCTTGTTTAGAAACATGGAGATATTTTCATAAATCTTGTCCGGATCAGTAGAGCTTTTACTTTCTAAACTTTTGAAACAAACGGACGTCCAGATATGTGCCAAAATAGTGGGTTGAATTTTAACCCAACAACTATCGAGTTAGCGCTAATCTGGTCACTGGTGATGACAGCATGTATATGTTGTATAACGCATGACAAGTATACACTCGAAAATGACTTGCTAATCAAAACAAAGATCAAAATAAAATGTTGTTGTCAGGTGGATGGTTGTTGTCCACCAAGTGCAAAAGGTTATTAACACAGGAAGTAGTTGGAGCTATTGAGTCTGGGACGGATTTTTTTCATTCAATTAAAATATAAATCAAGTGATATTGGAAATCAATTAACATAATACTGCATCAAGTTAATTGTGTGATGCTTTTGAGTTTTGTGTTTCTACAGTCGCAAGTATACATTATTTCAGGTCACAGAATGAGAATCTATAGTGACCAGCATTGAATAACAACAAAGTCAGTGGATAATGCATGGCAGTCCATGGGATATCTATGTAAAGTATGAGTTGTATGTTTAACATGGATGGTTCTCACCTTACGTCATCGCCGCCATGACGTTTTTGTTGGGCGAATTTGACAAAGGATTTCTCATGTTTAGTTTCCTCGATTAGTTCTGCATGCATAACCCTGAACTACACAATTTGTGTTTTCTTTTAATCATTTTGTTGCGGTGGTATGATTACCTTTTCGTTAACGATTCGTTTAAAAAAGCTGATAATTGAAAAGATTTTGACTATTGGATGCATGGCAATGAAAAGTTGGAAAGAAACAGTTTATATATATTTTAAACTCTTTTACCGGTTTCGAGCCTTAATATGACTGAAATAATCCCATCATTGATATGGTATTGCCAAAAACGAAGATTTTTCTAAAAGTAAAAGCGTTTATTAATCATCCAGTGGTTCTGTCATATAGAACGTACAACCGTGAACCATCCCATGACCTAATGACACAATACGTCTAATATATCTCTTCTCGGTGTCCAATCTAATATGCTGATTGCTCTTATCTTGCAAATCTTAAAGTCAATATTAGAGTTACCAGATTAGTTGTTAATTACGGAAATCATCATAGAGACGTTAGATGCAAATTTACGATGTGATGAGGATACAGGAAGTGAACAATACTTGGCTATTGAATTGCAGTTTCAGTGCGTAGTAATTATATTATGATGCCGGATCCAGTATATAATTGGAGTATATAATTACAGCTATTGCCTATTTTGAAATTTACTTCCCAATATGGATTATTGCCATATTGGTTCTGCGTGCAAAAAAGCCATGCAGCTAGGGCCGGTACGAACGCCGGATCCGATAGCGCGCTATCATGGGATCATAAGTGACTTTGTCAAGCTTTCCCAAATTGTTCAGTGATTGGTATATAAACCCAGATTTAACGAAAGTTCGTATTAATTAATTGTGAGGTCCACATTTGTGGGTTTGTAGCTTTTCAAGCATTGTTAATTTAACGGTTGAAAAATCGCTATCCGTCGTATCGCAGAAAATTAAACATTTTCACAATAATTCAATGCAAATTACAATAATTAAATTATCACGAGGGAGTCAGTATGAAAAGAAGGGGGACACGAATGCTATAACCGAATGAATGCATGTGGCAGTTGTATAGGAGAGATAGACTTGCTACATGTCTGCGTCTCAAAGGGTTTTTATCCTGCCCTCAATTTTGCGCGCCGAATAAAACACCCTTTCTCTAATTTGAGAGGCTGCAGTGCAGACCGTGGAGGAACTCTATAGATGAGAATACAGAAATAAATCACCCGTTGTCGTGTATATATTGCAGTTGTGCACGAATCTACGATAGCAAGACGTGCTGTAGCCTGCGCGCAGACTATATAATGACATATATATATATATATATATATATATATATATATATATATATATATATATATATATATATATATATATATATATATATATATATATATATATGTCATTATATAGTCTGCGCGCAGGCTAGACGTGCTGACGTGAAGAGAGGAATGGACGATATATTTCAACATCATATGTTTTTCGGCTCATTGCAGGCTTTTCACAAAGCACGTTTCAATACTAACGTTAAAATTGAAACCGATGTTTAGGTTTGCACTTTTCTTCAGGTCGGTTTGTTTTAGTAAAGATTCAGAAAATAGTAAATAACTTTCATGATCCAGACAATATTGCAGGAGAAATATTTCTAAATGTATAAACAAGCTGTTGTGAAATTTGCTGCAATTTATTACATGTATGAAACGAAAGCTAACGTGCTTTCAAACAACCAGCCTCGATTTTCATGACTATTTTCTTCGCAACTATACAGGCAAAAACTATATTGCTCTATTATGATTATGGATGTTCAAATGTTCAATATATATAGCCTATGCATGGTCGTATACTGAACTGACGATACAAATTTTGGCAGGTGTTCAACTAATCAACTGGCATAGTTGTATGGACGTGCAGTCATCTTGCCTATTATCTGATACAACAATTTTAATTTTCGTTATGTTTACTACACGCGACATGCACACCACAGCCACACGTTCGCAACACTTAAAAATTAAATTCTTCCTTTGTGACCTTTATCGTCCAGTAATCGACATTGTTAAGTCATATACCCTCATAGCTCCGACTGTTTCTTTATTTTAAATCAAAGCAAACTTCGTCTGCATGTTTTTAAACGTATACAATCATCTAATAATACCTGCCCTTTGACTTTTCATAAATCACAGCATATATACACTCGAAACCGCCGCACTAATTGCCAACTGCTGATCGTTCGCTCCGCCTGCAAGTTAGAAGATCAAGCAACTTAGCCAATCAGAAGCCAGTATCAAGTTTTGCGCACAAACGCGTTCAGGCAGGGCTCTTTGTTTAGGGTTATATTGGCTTTTCAAAGACATATCATATTAAACTTTATCGTCTCAAACAAATTCCATGGATTTAGTATATAATTGTTGAGAACCCTTCGGCAAGTCCTACTCGCATACTAATCAGCCAAACCGACATTAATTTAATATGAATTTTTGACACGACATTATTGAGAGTGTATCAGCTGGATGTTATTCAAATTGTCAATTTGCGTTATAATATTGACAAACCTGAGACAATGAGGTCATCTCAAGCGCACCAGTCACAATCATGTTGAAAGGTACCGACAGTTTCCGTCCTTCACAGTATTCCATTTAACTTCTGCTCGTGTTGAGCGTGCGACCTGCGAGATCAGAGTATACCAGTTCTCTTTGTGGTTATGTGGTAAGTCTGTATATTTTAAACAAGAGTATAACAAAAATATATTAATCAAATAAAATGTTTGACTTAAATTTGACAACGACTTAACAAAGTGGCTATCAAAATATCATATCCATTAGTAATCTATATACTTTGTATCCTCGTGAACTTTGGGAATATCAAAAACACTGTCTCGTCATATAACTGTCGACGATCAGCAAGTCCATATACAAACTACTGTAGTCCTTGTTGGACTGAACATCTGAAATATTTAGATCAAAGTCAACTGGAAGAAAGGTATATGTATATAATGCCATAACTGAACTTTGACTGTACGTCTATTATTTTAATATACAAATGAGCATGACTTCATGTTATTTAGTCACTGCCTCGGTGTTTTCCTCACATGTTAGTTGAAGCAGGTACCAGGCAAACAGCATAACCATGAATAGCCAGGGATTTCAATTCGTACAATTTACAAATTTAATTTCGAAATAATCTCATGCAAATATAATATTGTTGCAGCAGCCACTTCTTGTTTTGTTTACCTGTGCGATGCACGCATGGTGCCAGTAAAGTTTATATAATACTCAAGCACTGTAAATAAATCTTGTAACTGATCACTTGCCATATGGTCTCCAACATCATGTTACATGTAAGAACACATAACCACATGGCAAAGCTCACGACAACACGACGTACGGCAAGAAAAACTTTTATACAATATCGTACATATATCTTCGACATATAGCCATAGGGCAAAGTCATTACCAATGAAATTGATCTGTATGTAACGGTAACATGAAAATCTAGTCATCTAGACAAAACCACACGGCTATCGAGATATACTCTAACACAAAAAGGAATGTATGATAAATTCGTCAGAGTCTACTGATCAGTGGTATATATGACAATAAACTGCATCATCGCAGGATTTCTATAAACATGACAACATGCAGGAATGAAGACTATAGACTATACATAAACCTATGAACAAAGTATGTACATGCATAAGTAACCTGTACAGTAGGACGAAATCCTATACAAAGAAATTCCTTTAGTAGCAATATATAATATTTCTGTGTCTATTGCCTTCAATTTGGTTTTCATACATGTTAGTATTAAACTGGACATAGTCAAAATATTTACAATAGTGGGCATGAATTATGTCACAAAACTACAAAAGTATCACAGAGAAGTGGCCAAAAAGCAAAACGTATATGTGAATATCTGCACTGGGACTTTGGGTATATATAATAGCATCCTTCACAGACATCATGCATGAGACAAACAATGTCAATGGTTTGCCAGTCTGAATTTGCTGGGAATTTCGTGCAATTGAGTGTCGAATCAATGACAATGTCTTTAGGCAAAGGACCATCTATACCAACGGGCACAGAGACCGGCACTACTGATATAATTTTATGAACAAATACCTGTTGAAGAGTTGTTTGTAATGTTCAAATAGTTCTGGTGTACCAACTATAGCTAGCGCGCGTATATTTGACGAATAGGATTATATTTAATCTCAGACTCGAACTAAGTAATTATCCATCAAAACCAGACCGCAGACATCCGATTTGTTGGTCTGCGCATACCGTATCTAAGAATTTCTTAAGGCGTTAAGCAGGCAAATTAGGCTATATCTGATCGTAAATACTATATATATGTACATCATACTACATGCACTATTACAGTCATATGCTTCGGTACAGTCACATGCTTCGTCCTTATAGGCTTAATTCTTGCAGGAATCAATATGGCCACAAAAGAATAGTAATAAACACAATATATATGGAGTCGATAACTTAACTGCACATGCATCAGTACATGCCCTCACATGAACGTAATTATCAGGTTGTATAATACTGGTTCCTCAAGCCTTTGAATTTTTAGTGGTCTGACGCCGTTGAGGAATATGTATATACATAGGCCTACCTCCGGCGAAACATTATATATAACATCGTGTATAACATCATGTATAACATCACCATGCACTGATATTTTAAAATCTACCAATTAATTTTAGTGTACTAGTCTATAGGGTGTGAATAAGGGAATCTTTATTTTTTATTAATTAATTATAAGTCAAAGAAACATGACAACTGTTCATCACGAGAATCACTTCCTTTACGTACTGTCTGCAAGTTGAAATGCCTTAGACGTATTTTGAGGCTCATCTGTATGGTTTGTTTTGACTATAGAATGCCGGTTTTTCCGGGATAATGGCTTTGTTGAAAATATATTTGATTAATTTGGCTATATTGCTCTATGTTTTACTGTTTTTCTTTCGAAGAGAAAAACATATATTTGAATATTAAGTGTATCATTGACATTGTTTACCCGAGCCGGTGATGAGAACTGATTGGAAATCATCCAAAAAGCTTCTATAATCGTATAGAATCTTACTTTACTACCTTTTACTTATTAATTCACAAATTATGATCACGGAGCTGCAACACATGCAAGACGATATCAGTATTTGAATACATGCATGTATATTTCTGATACCTACCGCATGCATGTAATCATCATAATAATATATGACTATGTCTATGAGGATGACCAGTCCATGTTCAATAGGTACATGTATGCATGTGTTCAATGTTCATGAAGAATAAAAATGCCAAAGTAGGCTAACTATATATTAAACCTCATTCAGTGAACTGTGCGTTATTGATTTCTTCACGCTACAATATATGCCGTATAATTCGCACGTTACACGCTGGAAATTTCGTTTTTCGTATATAGTATTATAATATATTACACTGAATAATATATTTTGGGGGGCAAACTTGTCAATTAGTACTTGGAAAATAATCGTGCTATATAGTATTGTATTATATTATATATGCATGCATGGTCATGGATACACTGTACACTCTATTCCTGACTTACAATGATGTGGGCGACGGCCATAGTTGGTCCCTTTTCAACAAAATTGAATTTGGCACCAACATGGCGCGGCCGTGCCATTGTCTTCTAATTCTCAAGGGATTGATTGCAAGTCAAGAATGCGAACACTCTGGTTTAAATTTCATGATATATTCATTGAGGGCCTTTCTCATGATACACTCATCGTATCGTATTCCCCTGATGATGCCGGCTCTGAAATATACAGTTACATTTCCTGGAAATAACACTGTTTAGGCCAACTTAATATAGGCCTACCTAGTTAAATTTCCTGACTCTGGTTGGAAGTGAGATAAATGTAACGAGGAATCTGGTTATATATGACCAGGACGTCCTTGTTAAAATAACCAAACTATGCTGGTAAACAGGCCCCCTGGTTATTTGTCCATCTACTTGGTCTGCATGGTTATAGTTAAACCTATTGGTTATGGACAGAGTAAAATGATGGTTGACGTTATAATAACCAAAAAATTTAAACAGGAATATTAAGTTAATCCAAATGGCCAGAAATGGGGTTATTTCTTGATTAATCTGCAGACATGCATGATTATTATTGCCACGGCCAACTTGGTGCAGTGTGCAGAGATGAGGTATAAGATTATTGTACTGCTGGAAGAATAAAACAAATGTACATCGAAAATGGTGCTGGTATACAACCAAAATAAATTGAATTATATTATATATATATATATATATATATATATATATATATATATATATATATATATATATATATTATTCAATTTATTTT